GATCGTCATCAGATACACGTGCTGGCATATCTTTTTTTAAAAAATCTGGATCATTTATATCCCATTCTCCTGTTAATTGAAATAGAAAAAAAATATTTAATTCAAGTTTTTTTTTTTTTTCTTTTACGTTGAGCAGATGGTTGTTGATGTAAAGCACGAAATTCATTTACTGCTCGATTATTTTCTCTTGTATCATATTCTTGACGACGTTGAAGTAATTGTGCAATTGTATCATTTCGAATAGAATCTTGAGCTATAGAAATTTTAAACGATTAATTTCTTTTTTTTTTGTTTTTAATTCGTAGATAAGAAAAGATAATTTACCAAAAGCAGCTGCTCGTTTTTGTTCTAAATCGTCCATCCAATTACGATCTTGAATTTGTTGATTAAGTGCTTCTTTATCAATCTGTATATATAGAATAATGAAACTATGAATAATTAAAATTAAATAAATTTATCATTTATAAAGACCCCTATTTGTCGATGTTTAGCATTGAATATTCGTCCCTGACGTTCTTTTTCAGCACGACGACGCCGTTCAATAGCTGCTTTTTCTTTAAGATCAATTGGTAAATCGAGTTTATACATATTTATTTCGTTTGAATAAAACCAGTTATTTCTTGTTTGTGTAGTAGTTTTCTTCTTTTTTTTTTACACAAGACAACACAATATGTCTACCATTAATGTTTACCATTGTCATGGCAATACATGCAGAAGAAAAACGTGTGAATCAAATGAAAGTATTTTTTTTTTGAATGACATCAGCGACCTCTGTAAATTTGAAAGTACAACTCTTCACAAAAAGTAAAAATTAGAATCTACTTTTTTGTTTCTTCGATTTTATAATTCTTCATGACAGATTAAGTTGAAAAATCGTGTAAATCTTAGGCAGTGCGCCTTTTTTCTGTTGTGTTTCATCTAACTGAAGTCAGCTCAGTTATATGAATATAAATGTGTTACGCTTCTTTGTCATGCATGAACTTCATCGTTATGATAGAAAAAGAAAAATCACACATATTGTACTGTAACGAAAACAATATATATATATAGGAAAAGTTAAGATTCGAAAAAGGATATATTTAATTATAAGGATCAAATTCATAAGGAGGAAAAAAGGATATTAAAAATAAAATACATAATCAAACAGAAAAGATTTGTAATTGTGAAATAAGTTTATAATGTTTTTTTGCTTGTACTTCTTTTGCTCGTTTTTCATTCTCAACACAATTATATTTTGTGTTGAAGAAAGTCACACAACATAGATGGATTTTTTTCTGCGAATAGTCCGAATGATTTTAGTGAAATATATTTGTGTGAACTTGTCTATCTTAGAAAAGATTTGAAATATCATCATTCCTTACATTGTACTAATGATACATATATTTATCTATTTATAATTATCAAGATGGTTTTGCATGATATAATTGATAAGTCGTAGCTTCGCTTAATATTCAACTTGACGAAAGATATTTAAGCGTATCTTTCGAGGTTTCTGGAGAATAGCTGATGAGAAAAATTTGAAATTTTCAAGGCAAGTAGATCTTGACAAGTAGAGCAAAAGTTGTCGCTTCGGACGCTGCCTTCTATGAAATGTTGGGATTCCGTTTTTCCGAGCTTCTATGTTCAATCAAGCTGAAAACTTTTTTATAGACACTTGATACTATTCCAAGTGGATTTCTTTTTATTGTTTGTCCTTTGAATAAAAAAGTCAAAATATCGAAGGTATCCTCAAAAAAATGCATATTTTCTTTTAATAGAGTTGTTTTGTAGGAGCTATTGAAAATCAATAGAACAATATTTTTTTGAAATAAAAAGAAAACATTTATCCTAAACAGTACATAGTGTATATGAAAAAAGTTTCAACTCAATCGAACATACTCAATCGGAGAAATGGGGATGCTTCTGCACTTTTTTTTTCATGAAAAAGTTGGTTGAAGAAAAACGTGAAACAACGTAAATTTGATTTTTTGAATATTTAAAGGCAATTTTCGAATCCCAAAATGTACTCAATAGATAAATACGACTTTGGACTATACAATAGCAACAAAAATGTTGTGTCATGAAAGAGGGATACCCTTAAATATTATGAACTTTTGAACTCTGCTTAACCACGATATGAAGTAAAAAATAGTTTCAAAATGTTCATTACAATTAATATAAGGAGAAATGATAGCCCGATTTTAACGTATGTTGTAGTGTCTAATTATAGCGTAAATGACTCTTTGAACATGAGACACAATATCATTGAATGTAAAACCATCAATGTCATGACTATCAGCCATGATGCATCATTAATTAGATAGTTTGTTCTTTCCTGTGTGCTTATATGTGTTTTTCTGACTTTTCTGTTCTTATGCCATATAATGCAGTCTTTGATTCTTTTCTTCTCGAAGAAAAAGAAGAAGAGAAACATCATCGGTATATCATTGTATGTAAGAGAAATGGGATGTTTTAGAAGATATATATGTATATGGTATTTCTTTTTTTGTTTTTTATTTTGTTTTGGAACAAAAAAAAAGTAATATGTCACTGTAAAGAGTACGGAGAGAATAAATAATAATCAATAGTCTATAGAAAAGTGATCGATCAAAATTTGAAATTTTGAACGTGAAATTAGTTTTTATGCGAACAAGAAGATGCAGAATTAAGTCGAAGAATGGAATAAAATATTAATCTCATGAGATGTCTCATGCAATAGGGAAATCTTTTCAAGCATCAAACTTATCTATAATGGGTATTATAAATCAAATCACATACTTCCTATTTATTACTCATATGCTGTAAATGGTATTTGATTTTATCAACTATCATCCATTAGTCATTTTCTTGAAGGAAAAAGAAAATCAACAAAAACTCAATCTTTTTGCTATAATTGAACCAAGCGATTTTTTTTTTGCTGTCTAATTAAACAGTATTGATAGTCTGTATGCATATGAAAGTTTTTAAAAAATAATTTGATTTAAAGTATATATCATTGTCTTATATGAACTACTGTAATTTTCTTTTCGAGCAATAAAAAAAAAGATATCTAATTACTTTTACCGATTAATTTTATCGAAGATCAATGTTTTACTATTCGGTATGTTGAAAAAGTTTTATTCATAAGTAGTGAAATGTGCTTGAAAAAACCCTACATTTTTGCAAGGAACACAAAAAATTATTATATTTAAGCAAATCTTCTTACAATATGATCGTTTTGTATTAGCAACGAAATGTCTTGAGTTATCGAACAGTACGTAAGTTCAAATAATTTTGATACTTGGGAGATTCCTATAGATTCAATAGAAATACCTCGAGGTAGAAAAAGAATCCAATAAAGCATGTTTAATATGGATATTTTACATGAGTTCTTTTATCTTAAAAATTCTGAAGAAAAATTTGTTTTCATCTCACTTTCATATATACATTAACCTTTTTTTCTTTTTACTGTTGAGAACAAAAGTATTCATGTCATCTGTCAAATGGACTAGTAATATTGAAATTTTCTCTATGAAAAAACCTATTTGCTGCAATGTTTTATCCAAGTTTTTTCTTCCGCAAAGGTAAATTAAAAGTTTGCGAGAGCAAACATCTATTGCTAGAAACACAGAGACATGGTAAGTAGTACAATAACCAAAAATTCTGAGAGAACCAACTCGATGTTCAAAGGAACGTCGCTCTCACGCTAGATAAAAAACTAGTTTAATATAAAATTTGAAATCTTCATTTTTCTTCTTGCACAAGATTATGTTCAATATCTTACAAACAGACAATTTGATTAGTTTACCTGGAAGAAAACTTAAGAAATGTCATTCTATTAAAGCAGACACTCGATGTTTTATAAATCATAAAAAGCTTCAAAATTTTATTTTACATCAATAAAATGTCTCATCCCATTCAAAGTGCTATACACAATTGTTCATTCGATTCAATCAAGCTTAAAAATATTTTTTTTTTGTTTAATAGAATTCAAATTTCGATTGTTTTTCGCTTCAAAAGAAAATTGCTCTTCGTATCCAAATTCATAACACATCCTTCTCAGTCATTTAAAACTTAATGTCTAATCATTTTTAGTCTAATTGAACATTACTTCTACGTATCAAAATCTATTTATATTAACACTTTCAAAATTTTTCTGATTGATTATTTCTCAAAATATTCCGGAAAACGAAGATGTACTTAATGACACACTATATTCATTCATACAAATATCGATACTTAAAAATCAGTCATTGCATAGTTGTCATTTTTGACATCACATAATATTGATTCTGCTTGATTGAGAATCTAGCGAGAAAAATAAAACACAAGACAAAAAAAGGAAATTAGGATACTTGAACATGTCATAACATAGACTTCCGCACGGATGCATTTTTTACGCAAATAGAAGAGATTCATATAGAACGATGTATATATATATATAAACTTTTGGTTTTTCTTTTATTCTGATCATCATCATAACATCTATTCTTCGTAACCACCTATAAAATCGATATGTTCGATGCGTTCTTTTATTTTTTTCTTTTTCTTTTTTGTTGCTTTCTCTTTTGTAAGATGAAGTACTGCTTGTTTCTCTAGCTTGAACACATACTTTATAGTCAATGATACTGTTTCTTCCCTTGTTGATTTAATCCGCAATTAATGATACACGATGAGTTGATGATTTCTTTTTTTTTTTCGTTTCTCTTTTTATTTGTATTATTCGTTACCTGAAATTTTTACAGAAACAAATATATTTATTCGTTGAAAATCACTACACATATTTCTCTCTATCTGCATATATATATATATATATGGAATGAAAATAAAAGACAAATGTCGATATGCTAAAAAAAAAAAAAGAACAAGAAAATTCATTCGCTTCGTCATAGATTGGAATAATAAAAGATGTAACAACGCTTGCGACAAAGAATAACTCAATTAGTCGGGTGTATCGCGTCTTAAGCCGGACTTTTTTTTATTCATGTTCGATGGCATTTCACACTATCAACATATATACATACACAATATTTTGTTTCAATATGGAATTGATATTTCTATTAATTTTTTATTTTATATCAGGTATGAATTTATTATATTAATTTTATTATTATTTTGTTTTAATAATAAATAGAAATGAATATGTGTGATGTTGAAATGAATTTAACACGAACATTATTAGATCCAATTGTTTATGATAAAACAGTACGACCTGCACGAGTTCATACTGATGTAACAAATGTATCATTTGATTTATCACTTGCTCAACTTATTGATGTTGATGAAAAAAATCAAATTATTACAACAAATCAATGGATAACTATGGTATTAATAGTATATATATATATATATACAAGATATTCTTATTTTTGTTTTGTTTTTCGTATTGTATTATTTAATAGAGCTGGCTTGATCCCAAACTTACATGGGATCCTTTAGAATGGGAGAATATCAGTTTACTTCATATTAAATATGATAAAATTTGGTTACCTGATATTGTTTTGTATAATGTAGGTACAATTCCATCAAAATATTCAGTTTTCTATAATTGAGCCATTCGAATAAATAAAATACTTTTTTCTTTTCAAATAAAGCACAATAACTTATATGAACAATTCAATGAGGAAGAATAAAATAAATTTGTTGTAATAGAATAATTGAATTCTCTATTATTTTTCTTCCGCAATAGCATTCAAGTCCTTGAAGAACGAATAAGAAATGATTTCCATTAAAATAGGCTGTATGGTCTGAGATAGTTAGTATTGATTTGACAGTTAATTTGACAAGTCTTTTTTTTTTTTATTAAAAATTATTTTCTAGAATCCATACATATATTCTAATGTACTCTTTCCATGGTCTTATATTTTATTATAATCAAAAATTGAATCTCGAGATGATGAAATGTTTAAGTTATTATTATGAATTATATAGGTCGAGATGATTTCTTTCAATAACATGAGAACATAAAAATAATTTTTACTTGTAGATTCTTCTTAGTTATTTGTTAAATCATCGATAAAGTAGACGCTTACTTTGCGGAATAATACGAATTAGATATGCATGAAAGTAACTAACATAAATTTTCTTTATTAGTATCTTATGCAAAATAAAATAGTGTAAGAAATATGATCATAATCATCAATATGTTTCTAATTATTTGACATTTTCTTATGATTAAAAATGTATGTTGCATGTACAAAGCAATTTTTGTTTATTTCCTATAATGTATTTTTCCTCAAGTTTGATATCAATCATAAATAGATTTTTATCATAAATTTAATATATAAAGGTTTTCGCTTGAATAATAACAAAAATGTTTTATTTAGAATGCTGATAATCTTGCTTCATTAAGTCAAATATCAACAAATGTTATGGTATCTTCCGAAGGTATAGTTACATGGTTATCAACGGGTATTTTTAAAAGTTCATGTGCTATTGATGTTCGTTATTTTCCTTTTGGTAAGCAAAAAAGAATTTTTTTTCTTATAAAAAATATCCCAACATGATTTTTCTTTTATTAAAATAGATGAACAAAATTGTTCATTGAAGTTTGCTTCATGGACTTATGACAGTGCTCGAATTGATCTAGCACAAAAAACAAATATTGGTGATTTGAGTAATTTTATGGCAAATTCAGGTATATTATTTTATATAAAAAAAAGTGTTAGTGTTCAAACTGAAATTATGTTTAATCTTGGATTGAGATTGTGCAGAAAATTTACATTAAAACTTAAATTCAGATTTTTATCAATGAACTCTATTGAAGCAATAGTATTTCAATTAATATAATCATTAATGGACAAATTAAGCAAATATTTCAGCAGTTATCCATCGATGATGCAGTTCTAAAACTGTCTATAACTCCACGAATTCAAATTTAATTGACCAACTGATAATTGTATTAATTGAAATATCATTACTTCATCAGAGCTCATCAATAAGTATTCGAATCTGAGTAGACTAATTCGAATTTTAATGTAAATTACAATCACAATCTCATGTTGGACACTAACATATGTATATATGGTTTATTTTAGAATGGGAAATTATTAAATTACACGTGAGAAAACATGTTGTCAAATATTCCTGTTGTATGTAAAAAGAGTTTAATTAATTGATTCTTATGATATGTGATATAAAATTAGGTCCAGAAACGTTTCCTGATCTTACTTATATAGTACAAATGCGGCGTCGTCCATTATTTTATGTATTTAATATGATTCTTCCATGTTTTCTCATTACAAGTGTTGCTTTTCTTGGTTTTTGTGTTCCATCTGATAGCGGTATAAAAGATTTTATTTATTTTTTTATTTAATCTATATGAATTCATATTTATTTTATTTTTTCTTTTATCTAGGTGAAAAAGTATCTATTGGTGTAACAACTCTTCTTTCAATGACAGTATTTCTTATGCTTGTTACTGATAGTATGCCACCTAATTCAGATTCTTTACCATTAATTGGTATGTTAATTTAAATGATAATATAACAGTTTTCTTATAGATTTTATCATAAATCAAAACGTTTCTACAATACATTTGACAGACAAAAAAAAAAGAAATTAGTTTTCTTTTTAATAGTTATGATTCACAACTTATCTTCATACAAATATAGTTGTAATCTATTGGATTTTTTATTCAATTTCCTGAACTGATCTTTTGATTATGAATTGATGTGAACTGAATGTGATCGAGTTTGTGACATGGTTCACATCAAAATGATTAAACTCCAATATTTTGCAAGAGTAGACAAATAATTTAGAATACTTGAAAAATGAATATCATTTTAAAAGAAAGATCAAATCATTTTTCTCAAAATTAGACTTCTTTTTTTTTGTTGTCTACTTAATATTGAATTGGAAGCAATAGATAAGTATTTAAAATTTTCCTTCAGAGTTAGAAAGTCAAATTTTTTAACCATATTTGAGGAGTATCCAAAGACTAATTCCTCCACACAGTTTCCTAATGGCTAAAATCAAAGAAAGTACAATATTCCCCATACTTTTTGCTCTCACATTCATATTCGAGAAGAAATGGGTAAAGATGATTGTGCCATTGTAAGAATTCTGGAAGATAATGTATCATTCTGATTATTATGAATAACAGAACTATGAGAGAATTCACGACTAATTCTCGTAACTCTGTTGATAGTTCTTTGATAGCTTAGGAATTCTTATAAGAGAATCTTTTCACCTGCTCCCTTCCGATTTCAATGCCATTTTGCCTATAGATATTACATACTGTTCTAATAGAGACTCTAAAAGAATTTTGGACCCTATTGAAACTTGACCAAAGTATCAAATTTTTAATATGTCTAGTTTTTAGAAGCCTCATGTGTTCGGAACACTCGTATTTTCGAACTTTGACCTGAAATCTTGCACATATAAAGAATTCAACTAGACTAGCTTCTATAAATAAATTCATAAGTTTTGAAAAAATCTCTTCGAGACATAAAGCCTTCAAAAAATGCATGTTGTATACACTATTCATGGAAAAGGATCTACATCTTGAAAGTCTCATATCATGCAGAAACTTTGTTCAAAACTTGTGAAATTTTTTCATGAAAGCTAATCTAGTTGAGTTCTCTATGTAGGCAAAGTTTCAGATCAGAATTCGAAAGTACAAACTTTCCGAAAATCTGGAGTTCTACAGAGGCTTCAAGAAAATAGACATAGTAAAAATTTGATACCTTAGTCAAGTCTCAATAGGGACCGAAATTCTTTCAGAATCTCTATTAGAACAGTATGTAGTATCTATAAGTAAAACAAGTCATTGAAATCGAAAGGGAGTAGTTGAAGAGGTTTCCTCGTTAGTTCTTAGACATCGCTGAAACCCATTGTAATGTATTTTAATGAATTTAGGTATTTATTATTTTTCTGCAATTATAATTGTAAGTATAGCAACAGGGATGTCAGTTGCTTCTCTTAATTTATATCATCGTGGTAAACATCATCTTCATCATGTTCCACAATGGATGGTACGATTATTTTTTATTATAATTCCAAAATTACTTTTTATGCATATTGAACTTCCTGTTCTTTGGCAAAATCGACGAGAAAATCTTCTAAAATGCAAGGTAAAATAAAAGAAAACAAGATCTAAGGAAAATAACATTAACGAAAAAAAAAAATATTATATTTTTTTAGCCAACAAAAACATCATTTCCACTAGTAAAATCCGAAACAAAGAGAAAACAAACAAAACAATTGAATAAATATTCATCAAATAAATATGATTATACAAATAAAAATACTTCATTACATAATGGTAAAATGACATTATATGAAGATCCGATTGAACCTAATCCAACAACTTCGTTAACATCTTCAGATAATCTCCATTCATTTGATTCTTATACATCTCCACCACTAATACTTCGTTCTTATACATCTATACAATCATCAAATAGACAACAACAACAACAACAACAACAACAACAACAACAGAAATCGAATGATAAAAATAATCAAGATTATTTAACAGATTTATCAAATAAATATACGAATAATATGAAATTATCTATTGATTATATACATCGTATTGTTGAGCAAAATGAACATCGATATCAACGACTAGAACAAAATAGAATTATTGCACAAGAATGGCAACTTTTAGGTCGAGTTGTTGATCGTCTACTTGTTGTTATATTTTTAATTAGTACAATGGTTGTTTTTTTAGTTATTTTTCTTCAGGCACCACATTTAAGATTGAAATAAAAGAAAATATTTATTTCATTCATAAATAATTGGTTGATAAAAACAACTTACTATTTGACTGAAGATAGAATTACATATTTTTATACCATAACAAAAAATAGTATCAATATCATTGAATCAAGAAAGAGTTTTCATGAATAAAATGATATTTTATAAACACTTGAATTTCATATAAACTCAAGAAGAAGAATCCTAAAGTTAAATTTCATCGAATCCGATAGGATATCCCACGCAGTCTGACAACTTTCGATAGGATCTTGTCGGAAATTGTCGGAATCTTTGATATAGGATTCTGATAGGTAGTTGTCGGGTGTCAGGTCCGACTGTTTCCGACAACTGGAAACTGTCGGATACACCTAGGACCCAATCGGATCATATGGAATTTACATTTGGACATTAAACATTGTTTGACTCTCCTTCGTTATCATTGGTTTTTCCCTATACTCCTCCTTTCATACCATTAACCAAAGATCAATCCAATTACAAAATCATTTGAACACTATAAAATAAGTTCTGAGCTTATAAGACCTTACTAGAAGACAATGAAAGAGGCCACTAAACGATAAAAATGATGTCTTAGTTAAATTCATTTTTTGACTATACTTTGTGCGTTACAACAGCTGAATTTTTCTTTGAAAAAATCGTTCTATGCAAAACTTCAAGACACACATAGATTGACTAGTTTTCCATGGTGATTTTCAATATGATATTGATTTTGACTCAAATCGTACCTTTTTTCAATGAAGTCAATAAAATGCCATTTAAAAATACAAAAGAACTGGTATCTAAACGAAATTGAAGTTCTCTCATTAATCAAACTTCGTCTCTATAAAAATTCAAAATTGCATAGTTTTATCGCCTTCTTTCACACTATGAGAATCCAACAAAATCTCATGTTGTTTTTTTCTTTTCTCGAAATATTATGAAAATAGAGAGTAGAATTGATAATATAAGCATAGGGTTCTCATGCTTGTTTGTAACTATATTTATATCGTTACTCAGCAACATGTTAACTCTTTAGTTGAAACTTTCACTAAAGATAAACTGTCGAATAGGTCGTTGATTTACACAGTTATCAGTTCAAAGTGTCTAATTATGAGAAAATATACACAGCTCACACTCTTTTATGTATGAACTATCTATTTATGATGTCAAAGTGGACGTCAAGATTTTCAGCAAAGATGTATCCGGATGCCTCAACAATAGTTTTATTTTCTTATTCAATGATTCACGATTCATGATGAAATTTTACATACAGCAAGTCAGGAATAAAGCGAAACTGTAGATGGCTCAAAAATGACTATTATGCGTTCCTGTCACTTATTAATTGTGACTTTAATCTTCTAATTCACACACATAATACTGTTTCTCTATGTAGCAGAATTTCATTTTATACGACTTGTGGGATCCTATTTTTTATGAATACAAAGTGGAAAGCTAAAGAATGGATATTTGTAAAAGACACGAACATCCTCAAAACGGGAACTGATCTTATCAGCAGATGGAGCTCAGCGAGTTGAGCCTACGAACACCCAAAACAATTGAATATTAAAGGAATTGTCCAATACACACTGTTTTTTCAAATCTACGATCACCTACGAACACCCATATCTTTTGCCAGTGAGCAGCCCTACACTCTAAGAAAAATCCGTCTTCTTGGAATCCTATACAAGGTTTCCGAGAAAGGGTTTTCGAGTTCTCAGGAACCTTCAACAGCAATCAAAAAGGCTCTAGATCCCGGAAACGCAGTAGAGATTTTCAAGACTTCGAAAATCTCTTATAGGTTTCCGGCAGCTATCCACAAAACGATTCACTAATCTATATCTGTCGCCTTATTTTAACCGCTTATTCTATTCCCTTATTCTAACACATAATCTAACCCTTTATTCTAACCTCTTATTCGAACTGCTAATCTAACTCCTTAATCTATGTTTGCCGCCTTCTTCTAATCCCTCAATCTAACTTCTTATTCTATCCCTTCATTGTAACCCCTAATCTAAGTTCTTAATCTATATATAACCTCGTATTCCATCGCCTTATTCTAACTCTTTAATCTATATCTATTTCCTTATTCTAACCCTTTAATGTAAGCCCTTATTCTATCCTCTAAATGTATCTTGTTACTTTAACTTTTTAATCTATATCGGTTCTCTGATGCTAACCTCTTAATCTAGCTCCTTTATGTTGATTTGAGTTTCATATTGGTGAACCTGTGTCCATAGTAGGAGAAGACAAGAAAAGCTGCTTAATGCAAACTGATGAATTTCGTCAAAGTCCTTCGATGTTTATGTCTGTTAAAGCGAGTAGTATGAAACTAATTAAAGTTCCGAAGTGGATACGACTGTTAGTTCCAGAGTCTTATTGTTAGCTGAAGTCCTAAAGTCTTTAAATCTGTCAAAGACTTAGACATGATGTCAGTCAAAGTGTTGAATCTTTTGAAAGACAGAGACATGAGCTTGATAAAATCTCTTAAGTGTTCTCGTTTTGAGAATTCACAGTCATAAAGTCAGTGAAATTGGTAGAAGTTGGAAGTCTCTTAAATGGAATGTCATTAATTTAGTCCGAGTCATGGATTTTTCATGTCTCCCTCTGAAAGACTTACGAGGGAACATTCCTAACTGTCACATCGCTTTTGAGTCGAGCGTATGCGCGTCACGTAGGCCCTAATGGTCTATGAATACTCTGAAAAAAGTTCGTGTCGCTTGGTTATTACCATGCCGAGATATTGCATTTTTACTGTATGTTTAAGAAAAAAAGCCGTGATCCCCCTCAGAGACACTAAAAAAAGTAAGTTTTGAGTTTCAACTTGAAATTTTGCATAGAGATAGGCCTCAGTGAGAATAGTTTATTGTGAAAGTCTCAGATCTTTCCGTTGTTCTTCTTCTAAGATAACAGCTATAGTAAAATAGCTTATAGACACCAGCATATTCCGATGTTCTTATTTCAGACTAAGAGCAATTAAAAGATCTGACACTTTCACAAAAAACCACTCTCATTGAGACTTGTCCCTGTACAAAGTTTCAAGTTGAAATTCGAAACTCAGTTTTCCTAGTCTTCCTGAGGGGAACCACGGCTTTTTGTTTATAAATATAGTAAAAATGCAATATCTTGGCAGTAATAAGCAAGTGGCATGAACTTTTTTCAGAGTATTCATAGATCATTAGGGCCTACATGATGCGCATACGCTCGACTCAAAAGTGATGTGACATTTGGGAATATTCCCTCGTTAGACCTACTACTAACCAGCGGTTCAAGCAAAACTGATGAGTATTTCGTTTCGTGCTCTGCTCTCCCTTTAATCTTAAGCTTTTCATGAGAACGAACACAGACAAATGGCAGGAACTTGGAAATAGGAATCCGGTGACGGGATTTATCCAGATCTGATCGGAATCAGACAGAGCTAGCAATCGAATAAGATCATAGAATTCCTACTTCCAAGTTCCTTTCATTTTCTGAAGATTTCGGACCGAAAACGTTGTCTTTGCTGTGGGCTCTCGCCGGAAATCCGTGGATTTGGGACATCGGAATCATTGATCTGGAAGACATATATTAATTAACGCTTCGTCATGGAAAAAAGCAAAAAACAAATCTATTAAATGAGAAAAGTTATTTATAGACATAGTGACCCAAGTTTTACAGTAAAAAGTCACATTCCGGTGTTTCCAGTATATTACTCAGAAATGCGAAATCTGCTTACAGTTGAAGTGATATGAACTCTTCGGTTTTTTTTTGTAGAAGACATGAGATTAATCAAAAGATGTTATAAATCAGATTTTAATTGAATAAAATATTTAATTTTTGTTCAATATATATTTGCTACAAGATGTTGTATACACAAATATCTTTAAAAAGGAAATATTTCGAAATGAGCTGTAAATACAAGTGAAACATAGAAAAATCAAATTTAATAAGCACAGTTTTGTATTTATTTTATTTTATTTTGCTTGCCTAATATTGCTTCAGCTTTCACGACATCAGATTTGTTTAGTCTCGGTCTCATCAATATTTTTTCGTCTTTTCTATTGTTTCTTGTAAAAACGCATCATGTATGATGACTTCACTGAATTTTCGTTCTTTTCAAATGTGACAAATTGTTTGTTGTGATGAAGACAGCATCGGAGGTGATTTCTTGTTTAGAAGTTGTTCCTAGATTGCTTTAGTAATAATATCAGGAGTCAAAAGTCAAGAATCAGTAGAATCTATCGTTAAATAAACAGATGATGAATGAAGAGATGGTGTGGTATCGCTTTATCTGTTACAAATCTTTCTTCCATACTACTTCCATTTTTTGCTGTCTCTACGACAAATTGATAATTAATACTTGTCTTTTTACTGCTTTTGCTTAAACCGCTCATTAGTACTAGGTCTAAACATTTTGAAGAGATTTGTCAACGATCAGCATGGTGAATTTTGAGTTTGAGAAGCGAAAGTGAGTGAAATATTCTTGAGTAGTTTATCTTCAGTCAAAATGGCTAACGCGTTTGTTTTATCAACAATTTCTCGCTGCACGAACGTTCGCTTTATCTGCCTTATAGATGAAGCGAACGCATAGTATATTTTAAAAAAATCATTAAAAATCGAAAATAACATCGTTTGAGCTGAACTACTGGAAGTAGATAGAGTTGAAGATGAGGAATTAAATGATACTATTTTTTAAAGTTTTCATTGAAATCTGCAAGCAAGAGTGAGTAAATTTACTACTCATTGAAATTTTTACTAGTTCTCTGTCGGAGCGTTTGCTTTACCGACATTTTCTCGCTGAATGTTCACTTTGTCAATATGGCAGATAAAGTAAACGTTTTAGAAAGCTTTTTTTATACCATTAAGTACTTAATTATTAGAGTAGCTGTACATCTTCGTGTCATATGAGTAGATGTAGAAATTAATCAGGGTTTCCACCTCTTCTGCTTTTAATAGAAAAATACTGCTTTTCAAAGGTTTTTCTATCCTTTCTGCTTTTTCAGATATCTTATCTATTATATTATTAATCAACATTTGTT